AAGCTGGAAGCACTGTGGCGCCTTGTCTGTTCTCAGCTGCATGTATTCTCTTAGATGGTGGCAAAGAGGCAAATGCTGTACTACACCTAAATACCATGGGCTGAAATTCCTAAAATAAAGACTAGAAGAAATCTAAAACAATTATATCTTGGGTGCAAAGTACATTTAATTTAATTTTATTTTGGTTTATGTATGTATTTCATAGCAGGAACAGAAAATACCTGTTTATTTGATGCCATTTCCTCACAGTATTGGTTTCTGCGGGTGTTCTCTTGATGCCACCTTTTTGAGCCATCTACGTGGAAATTAAAAGCTGTAGCACTTCATAGCTGAAAAATATTACAGAAACTGCCTTAATTCTAGTGGAAAGGGTGGCGGCAGCAGTGCAAGACAGTTGCTTCCAGCACATGGAGCAGCAGCACACAGAAAGGCTTGACCAGTTTTCACCTAAGAGGTTCACTTTTTTGTGTGCATATGGGCTTCTGCTGGTGGTGTGAAATCCCAGGGCATCTGCCAAGAGGTATTGCTTAATGTTTTCTGCTTTTCAAAGGTTCAGTAAGCAAAAGGGGTTATCCTGAGCAGGCTGCTATGACCATGACAGGAGCAAAACACCTCTGTGTATAAATTTGAAACCTTTAACCTCCTAACTGTCAAATTTCAATATTTCTGGTCACAGTGTTAAATGCACCCTAGCATTTTTATTGGAAGAGTTTTCAGTGTATCCGGATGGAAAAATCAAAGTTTGCTTTTATATTTACACACTGTTAGTAAGTTGTTAAAAGAAGAATAAAACAAGGTGACTGCCAGCAATATTTTGTATTAGTATAAGCTTTACAGCTGTAGCATAATAAAATAGCATTCCTATTCTCTCTGTAACCTGTGATATACACTCTAAATGACTTACTGTTATTGCTGCTTTAATATACACTACATCTTACTAATGATAAACAGACTGTACTATATTGAGGCTAGGTCTCAAACTAGACAGAAAGGAATAAAGGAAAAGATGAGATGGGATGAGATAGGATAAAATGTCTCCTTAGGAAAAAAAAATCAAAACCAAACCAACTTTTAGCAAAAATCTAGTTTTCAAGTCCTTCATATATGAGTGCTCATCTTACCTATTTACTTTTAGTTGGTATTTTTTACCTTTACATATACAAAAGGTGTCACTGTAACTGATAGATACAGGGATCTTACATTGCCCTACCCAGAGATGGTATCTGTCCATTTTTGTGCATGAATCCTGTATCATTCCATCACAAAGACCTTTATGACAGCAGACAAGTGAAAGAAATAATGGCTTTAGAAAGCTATTTTCCTTTCAAACAGTAAGTAAATATTATCAGATATATGTGTGACAGTGATGCAGAAACCTGACACAGAGCCACCCCTTCCAGGGGAAACACCTGGCTCCTGCTCCCTTCAGTGCAGCCACCACCAGGAGCTTCAGCAACAAGCATTGAGGACGACATTTGTGACACCTTGACAAGGCAAAACCTTCTGAAATGTCATCACTGGCAGCAGTTATGACTGCAGAGGCTGCTCCTGTGAGCCCCTCACAGCCGGGACACATGGGGAAGCCCTCCTAAGGTCTCCTGCTCCCTCCGTGGCCCCAGGGATGGCTGCTGCACAGCCCTTGCAAGGCTGCTCGTGCTCCTAAGCTGTGTATGAGCCAGGATTCAACATTTATTGTTAAGCCCTGCTGCCAAGAGGAAAATTCACTTTGGGGCAATGAGAGGATTACAACCCAGCTTCTGATCTTCCACTATCCCATTTTACACTGGGGTGACTGCTGGCTTCAGTTAGGTTACTGTGCTTTATGTGGAGTAGATGTAATCAGAGCAACAAGCCTCTAAGCACCTATTTCTGCTGCAGAAGCATCTCTGCCTGTGGCTCTTAAGCACAACAGGATGGCAGTACCAGCATCTCTCAGGGTCTGTAGGCAGAGACCTGTTGCTAAATGGCCTAGCTTTTTCAGACATGAAAGCAGCAGCACATGGCACTTCTGGAGGGGAATATTTTCTTGTGTTGCTGGCATGGATATTTTGTGGGTAGGTGATGCACAGAGAGCCCTGAGCACCACAGTGAGTTGCTGAGCTGCATACACAGCACCAATCACATGTTCCTCCTGCTCTCCTAACTAAAGCATCATGAACATTTCTGCCCATGAGCTGCAAGGGGACCACCTGTACAACAGCTTTGTATGTCAAAAGCTCTGTCCTCTCCTCAGCTCTGCATGGCTACAGCACCAGCATGCATGATCGGGGTTTGCCTGTAGCCTCACTTCAAAACTGATTCCCAGGAGTCAGACTTTTAAGTAAAAGGGCAGCAGAGGGCAGGGAAGCAGCCAACTCTCCTCTGCTAAATGTAGAGGAACATGTTTCTCAGAGTGGGTGAGGAGCATCCCCCTCTCTCCTTGATTGGGTGCAGGAGGTCTCTATCACCTCCATCTGCTCTCCCCTGTGTCCTCTAGGATACTGCACTCCTCCCCAAGGCACATTAATCTGAGCTGGAGGAGCCTCTGAATGCAGCAGGGTGTATTTACTGGTGAGCAGTTTTAGCTGTATGTGTTTCTCAGGGCTGTCTCATGTGTTCTGGAAGCTCAGCCCTGGCTGGGGACCACGAATGGGAGGTCGGGCTTGGCACGGTGATGCTCAGGAGAGCCCTGAGCACGGGGATCGCTCCCACGTTGAACAGCTTTACAGGAGCCCTGCAAGGGCAGAGCCAAGCCATCCTACCACATAGGCACAAACATGGCTCCCACACATTTCTCTGGGGACAGGGGTGTTCTAATTTATTAAGGAAGAATAGCACTGGCAGCTGGGGAAAGGTGTCTTGCTGCCCTCTGACCTGTGACTCAGCTTGAAGAAAATGGGATGTCAAAATGCTCTTGCTCTGAAGATGCAGGCAGCCGCAGCGGCTACTGGAGCCAAGCTGTTTAAATTCACTTAAATTCACATCACTTAAACTAGTGACTATTTCTACGACATTGATAGAAAAAGGCAAAAATATGGCAGTTGCACCTATACTTGCCCCATTTCACATGGAGTTATAGAGCAAAGCTCAGGTAGCTCCTGCCTGCTGGGGAGGGACCTCCTGCTTCACTCCTTTACCAGTCCCTGATTGTGTCCATGGTTTGCTAGGAAATACTTGTAGCCTTATTGAATTTCACACAGCTCAAAATGTCAGCACAACCTGAAAATCAACAATTCTGCCATTCTGATCAGGAAAGAAAGGATGGCGAGATCTGCCCTTAGTGTCATAGAATATAGAAAGGTCTCGTACTGAAAAAAATTAAGCAAAGTGCAAAGAAATGGTGGTTCTGTCCACATGAAGCATCAGGGCCATTTAGTCCTAGTAATCCTTTGAAACACACTATTCAGAAACGTATTTGGAGTTCTTATCACATTTAGGAACTTGCTTAAAACATTTCTGTATTTATCTGAAATCCATTACTAATTGTGATCAGTTTTGTCTGTTGAAAACAGGAACTGGAGCCTGCAGAAAGTCTTTGGGATTAGCAACATTTTCTAAATGCATTGTGACAGTGAAAAATAAACTTCATAAACGGTTGTCCAGTGCTTATTTATTTACTATGATTTATAATGAGATTCAGGCCTTTCAGACCTGATTCTTCACCATGAAATGTGCCCACTGACTACACGCAGCACTGCAAGCAGGTATGAGCATTGACCATGCAGGAAAATGTGTGTCGATGGTGAGGGCACTGGCTGGGAGGAAGGAGGCTTGAGATCTATCCCATGCCTTGCCAGGATGCACGAGGTGACACTGGAAAGGTCACTGAAGCTCTGTGAGCCTTCTGTTTGCTGTCTATAAAGCAGCAGCACTGAGGAGGGCATTCCCACAGCACTGCAGGATCAAAGGAGATGAGGTGCTGTTTTGCTGCTCCTAACTTTGTGCTTTTCTACAGACACGACTTCTGCTGTTGCTGCTCTTGTTTTCAAAACATGCAATAATCTCAGTTTGGTCAAATAGCAATCAAATACTATAATTTTAGCCATGAAATCAATAGTCATGAAAATGGCCCTGGCTCATTATAGCTCTCTTGGGGGGTGAGGGTGTCAAATAGATAAGAATAACAGCAGAACACTGAAACTAGACTGGATTAAGGACTAATTGTAAAAACAAGATGCAGGGCAGTTTTGTGACTAAATGTAGGAATATTGCTCAGTTATGACCCTGAAATTATATTCCCTGTTTACAAATGCTTAGGCAGATTCTTGTGTATTTCTCAAGCTGTTCCTTAACTTCAGAATATCCTCAAGTTTCAGATCAAATGACTGCTTGGTGTTCATCTGCTATGTGGTGGCTAAAATGTTCATTGTACAGTGAGAAGCAAGAACAATACCATGTTTGTGTTGTGTAACCGACACAAATGCAGCCTAAGCCAAAACCCCATACCCACTGGGCATTGGGTCAAAGCCATAACCAATACAAGAACAGTTGGTGCAAGCAACCCAGGGACAAGCTGTGGCTGAAATTTCTATAAACGTTACAGAAATATTTAGAAATAACCCTTCCCATCTTGTGTCTTTGCAAAGATGCTGGTCAGCTTAAGTTTCCATAGCAAAGCAGCACTACGTAATAGAACATTATAAGTTCTATACCATAAAGCCACCTGAACTTTGAAGAGGAAGAGTGCCTGTCCTCGCAGTGGGTCTGTGATTGCTGGGACTTCCTTCAGCATCCCCTTAAATTGCTGGCATTTGGCTCATTTGTGCCGCTTCTATTCAATTGTTGTCTGTGTGATTCAATTTACCATTTAGAGCCATTACTGTGTGTCATGAACTTTCTTAATCTGAAATGCGAGAATCTTCTCTTAAATACGGGGCTGCTGAGAGGCAGGTGTCATGGGGGCAGGTCCCACAGGACCCAGCAGAGGGGAAGGAGGTGGAGAGACCTGATGAGCAATCCCAGCATCACTTCCTCCTTTTCCCCCTCCCACCTCACTGTATCTTCCCTTCCCACTGCCCCACTTCGTATCATTCCCCTCCTGTCCACATAGACCCCTGTGGCATTTGGTATGGAGGTAGGGACCTACAGGGTGCACGGGTGGTTTTCCATGCAAGGGTGAGTAAAAGGTGTATTTATCTCCAGCTAGAGTATTCTGGCTGGGAGCTGAAATGTGGGAAAACTAAGATTATTATTTCACTCCTTCTGTGATCTGCCTCCCTGCTCTGTAACAATATTAGCAACAAACAACAAGAAAAACATATCTGCAGAGAAAATTTCCAGACTTGATTAATGCTGTTTGTCAGTTTAGCTGGGCAGTGTGGCTGTGGCAGGGAGTCTTGGAGCACAATCCTTCAGGCAAGGCTGAAGGGGCTGTAAACAAGCTATGAAAGTTTAATGCCATTCAAGATATCTGAATGACTCCTCAAACGGTATAGTGGTTAGGAATTGTCCTGTACAGCTTTTGTAAAGAATTCACAGGGTTAATGACTAAAGAATGGAGTTCTGGTAATCAATATAGTCCTCTGGCTCTATTGATTGGAATTGCCTGCTTATTTTGCAGCTAAGATTTTTTAGCCCATTCAGAACAAAGACACCCTAGGGGACTGTTAAGTAAATAGGCATTTAAGACTTTTTCGTTGCTAAGAAAGTAGTTAATTATTATTAGTGCTTAAAAGTCTCGATTTAGACAGAACATCCCAATGAACATCATAATTTTGTTAGTTTTCTCTATGCTTTATGCAAATTCATGTGTACTGGCAGCTGTTTAGAGGCATGCACCTATAGGGCTGGGCAAGGTGCTAAGGGATACTTCAACCCAGGAAGGGCTGAAGGCGCTGGGTATCTTTGCAGAGGACCTTTGACAAAGAGAAGCATCAGTTCTCTGAGGCTGGTTCAGTATTTGTAGGAGGATGACTACTAAACACCAAGAAGTCCTTGCTGATCTTTTGCTGAAAGATGACATTCAATGGGGTTGAGGAAAACGGGCTCCTCAAAGGAGAGCTGGGCTTTATATGCACATATTCTTCCCAGAGAAAGTGCATCACAAACCAAACAACTTTCCAGCTCCCCATACACATAAAGACTTTCTGCTGCTGACATTTTTTTTATTTTAAACCAAAAGCTGCTCCTTGCTTAGCAGAAGATGGAGAGCAGAATGACGCTTCTCCGCTGAACTGCGGGTTACAATGGAGCTGCTCTGCATTTTGATGCCACTCTAGTTTCCTTTGCTTTTTGCCTGTTCAACCATTTTTGCTTGTTACACTTAAAGCTGTGAACCCAGTGTATCAGAGAAAAGACATCCTTTAGGGACTGCAAGCATAGCTGATCTTTTTCATCCCCCTTAAAAATAAATTATGGCTGCTTGCTAGTAGGAGCATTTAACAAAAAACAGAGATCACGCACCAGTCAACAAGCACTTATTCACCAGCTGAGACATTAAGAAAACATCACATTTCATATATGATCCAATTAACAGCTTTTTCCCCTCACAATGATTTCCTACATACTTAGGCTATTATATACAATTTGGTAATATGTGGAAGTATTCATCACGCTTACATTCTCTGACACTAATCCTGTTTGTAGATTCTCCTCGCTTTCCCCTTTCTAGGATTTAGAGTGGAGATTCCTGACTATAGCCTGTACAAAGCAGTGGCTGGAATTTAGCCATAAGTGATGTTGCAAATCCATAAAGTGATAGATAGTGGCAGAAGGGCAGCCGAGTTCCTAATTTTACACGCATCTTCATTTTGTCCCTGCCTTGTACAACTGTAGCCACAGTACCTTTGCTCATTGTGACTCTCCAACCTTGGTGTACTGTTTACTAGCACTTGGAAACCTTCACTCATTATTTGGTCCAACTCCTAACAGGGATATTGGCCAAATACAAGCCCTGAATTTGACTTTAAATCTCAGCCCAAATTTGCTGCTGTCAAGAATCCTGGCAAGTGAATTTTGAAGGTTTCAATGCACTAAATAGCAGTATCTCTTTTTGGTTACTGCTGAGGTCTATCCTTGATCTGCATCAGAGAGCCAGCAAGCAAAAGATCAAGTTAATTGTTCCAAGAATAGGAACAGTTATGATAACTGTATAATGATATCCATAGCAAGTGCAAGACATGAAAATCATTCCAGGTCCAATATAGAGGATCATTAGATAGATCTACACGCTTCAGGATTTGATCCAATTTACAACTGATTTCAGGTCAACTTGCAGACTATAGTTTTACATCTCGCTGAACCCCACAAGGCTCTAGTGGGACAAAATGGGAGGAAAATAAAGTAATGGGTTTCTCAAGTGTTTCTGAACCTTCGGGGAGAATCAAATTGGGAAGACAAATGGGAGGGAACTAACGCTGATTTTGTTTCCACTGTGGAGTGTCCTTCAAAATTACAGGCATAAGCCACATAGCCTTTCTTACAACAAAGGCTTTTACAATGAGTAACATAGATTCGGTTACACTGGAAATTTCTGGGAAATTTTGTAGGGAAAATTCTTTCACAATTTGGGATGGAGGAAGGATGTTAGGATTTGACAGATTTTCTATTTTAACTTAGTTTCTCAGTGGTCAGAAGCATTTCAGGTTGGATAAGACACTGAATTGGATTCCAAAAGGTTGGTTTCTTTTTTGTGAATGTTTTTTGGGATCATCAGTGGTGAAAAATAATCTGACATGTTATGCAATGTAAAGACCTATTGTGTGTTGCTGGGAATGTGATCCTGAAGAAACAGCTGTAAACAGTGCGTATTGATGTCGGATGTGTAGTCATTAAGAAAGGAGAAAAAGGAAGGTCCAAAGCCAGGGAATTAATGCAGTGTTGCCCAGGGGCTACATTCAAATATATTTAGTTTTCCAATTTGTAGTTTTAACTTTGCCAATTCCATCTGTTAATTTCATTTATAAACACCCTGCTCTTTCTGTCTTCTGGTACCTTTGCCTCCCCTCTTTTTTGTTTTTTTTTCCCCCTTTTTTATAAACCTAGCTTCTCACTAAAATACACGGGATCTCCTCGAGGTGCGGAGTCCGAGAACATTTTGGAGTGCTAGATAAGCTGACATTCAACCTAGGAGCCTCTGGAAGTTGGGGTTTTACCTTTGCAGGGCTACAGAAGAAACTGCACCATGTTCTGTGAGGGGGAGGACACAAATATCCTCTGGTCAGTCTTTCTGGACAATTTACATGTTTGCTTTCAAGGAAGAAAGTACTGTCACCCTTGATGGTGAGTTGGGTTGAATCTCTAATGGCTGCATACACCAGATATTAAGTCTTGATAATACAGAAAAGAGGAAGAGAGTTACTAAGCTGGCTTTGTGCAATGATAAATGACATTTGCCTAAAAATTACTAAAGGTGCTCCCTCTCCATGGACAGCTGAAGTGCCAGGACAGCCAACTGGGCAGACTGGGGCTGCTCTTGTCTCTAACAGCCTGTGCTGGTGAGAGTATCATACTGAGTGACCGGTTCCTGTACATACATAGAATTAAAGTCATGGCTATTTTTATTTTGCATTCAAAATGGTATTAAGCTTCTGAGGATTGAAGTTCTCTTCCAGGCCCCACCAGAGATTCACTGTGGGACTTTATTCTGCCCCCGTAGGCTCTTTTTGCTTTTATTTCTCTATCTGTTTAATGGAGACAATGACACTCGCCCACCTAAAAAAGTCCTTTCACATCCCCAAATTAAAGTAAAAATACTCATCATTGAGATGTAGGTGACAGAAGGTGATAACTTTCGTTTTGCTAGAAATTTCTCCCTCCAGTATGTATGCAAGATGTATCTTTATGGTTTGGTTGTTTACCATACTTTGTATGAATTATAGAGCAGGCTTCTTATACCTTGGTATTCAGAGTAATGCAACATACTTACTAGAAACCCACCTAAGCAATTACTTTTCTGATCTATTGCCAGATTCATATCAGCTGCAGCAGCTTGCGAAAACCTAACAAATAACATTTTACATAGGCTTGTAGTCTATATTCAATTTTATCTGATTATTTTTAGCACAGTGATTTGAGAATCCAAATTACAGCTAAGAAAATGGAAAATTCATTTTCCAACAATGCCTTAAGCTTCACTAGCATTTTAGAGTAGAACATTTCTGTGATGGCCTTTGATTCAATCCAGGCTGAACGAAAGACATTTCATCACCACAGAATGCATTTCTTTATTTGCCTTGGATCTATGATTCTGTCAGTATTGAGAGAAAAGAAAAATCAATGCTGCACTATAAACCTCGGGCAGCCCCTGGCCAACGTGGTCAGCATGGTGTGAGCAAAGGAAATGGCAGGGGAAAAAAATTGACCGCTCAGCAATAGTGTGGCACAGTAACGGACAAAGCTCTGGGCTAATAACAGCTTGCAATTACACATGGAAAGCCAAAGCTTGTAGGGCATTCAGTACGAAGGGGATGTAATACAATTTATTGAACCACCGGTTAGAGTTCTGCAGCTTCTCAATAAAAAAAAAAAAGGCAAAAAAAAAAGGAGCTGTGGACCTGTACTGCTTAAAAGACAGACTTCCATGGTGCCAGCGGGGGAAGGAGACTTGAAGAAAGCAGAAAGCCCTTCCTTTATGTCTTGGATAGTGAGCAAGTGGGAGAATGCATCCTATTTATGCTTTCTAAAAATACACCAGCCAGGCTTAAAGGCACAGCCCGCTGCCAGTGCCCCGGCTGCTGCCATGGGCGCTGCACACACACATGCACCCTGCGCTGGAGCACACAGATGTGACTAGGCACTGCTGCTTAATTCCTAATACGTAGTGCATCTACACCGACAGCACACTGCATGTCCTGCCTTGCTGGGAAAGGGGGAAAAGTGTCATGACAAAATCTTTGCTCAGATACAGTTATTTATCCAAGAGAAGCAAGCTGTTTCTGCAGGAGAAAGCATGAAATTAAAATGCTAGTAAAACAAACATAAAAATATTGAACTGAGAAGAGGAATCATTGATAAGCATGTTCTGGAACAGGCAGAAATGAAAACTTTCAACTAAAAGCCTGTGATGTTCAGTGGTCAAAGTTGGTGGCAGCATTTCTGGCAGGCCAGGCTACGCTAGTGAAGGTCAGCCCTGCAACTGGAGGGTACTCCCTTCCTGTCCCACTGTCGTGCCCTTT